GGCCACAACGTTGAGTGGGGCAGCACGGATACGAACCGCAGAGGTGAGTGTCTCCTAGAGTACATCTTAAGTGAGGAACTAAGCATCCACAATGTTGGCCAAACACCGACATTTGTAACGAGGGCTAGAGAGGAGGTCCTAGACATCACGCTTAGCAACAGACTGGCTAGCCCTCTGGTCACCCAGCGGGGGGTCTCATCGGAGCCCTCATTGTCAGACCATAGGATTATCCAGTTTGTACTGGGAGTAGAAGTCAAAACTAGGCAGGCAAACAGGAACCCCAGGAAAACTGACTGGACAAAGTACAGCGAGACTTTAGAGTCAAACCTAACTGGAATTAAGTCCAGGAATAGGTACACTAACTGCATGAGCCTAGAGAGCACCGTCAATGAGTTAAATGGCGCTATTGTAGATGCCTTTCACTCAAGGTGCTCAGAAAGGAGGTACGCAAACTATTTAATAGAGCAAAGCGCACAGGGCGCTGGGCTGAGTATTCAGCAAGTCTTACTAATTACAGTAAAGAAATCAGGAGGGCTAAACGCGACAGTTTCAGGAAGTTCTGTGAGGGCATCTCATCGACTCCTTAGCTGCCAGGCTGCACAAGGCCTTGGCAAGGGACCATACAGATACCAGACTAGCAATCCAGCTAGCCAATGGCACTTACTCAGGCAACGAAGAGGAAGGGGCACTTGCCCTGCTTTCGGCCCATTTCCCGGATGCCACTCCCACTTCGGGGGAGGCACCGTGCCGACGGACCAGGCCGTCCCCGGTGGACTGGAAGCTGGCTAGGAGTCTATTTACCCACCGATCAGTCTGCTGGGCGATGGACTCCTTCGACCGGTATAAATCCCCGGGGGTGGATGGCATCAGTCCAGTGTTACTGAAGCAAGGCAAGGAGCTCCTACTTCCACACCTCGTGAACATCATGAGGGCTAGCCTAGCGCTCGCTCACATCCCTGAGGTGTGGCAAAGGGCTCGGGTTATTTTTATCCCGAAGATAGGAAAGAGAGATTATTCTCTAGCTAAGTCCTTCAGGCCGATAAGCCTTACCTCCTTCCTGCTTAAGGCGATGGAGAAGGTGATCGACCATGAAATCAGGAACAGCACCCTTAAACAGGTGCCTTTACACCCCGACCAATATGCCTGCAGAGTGGGCAGGTCTACGGACACCGCACTGTACACCTTGTCTACGGAAGTACAAGATGCATTTGAGTGTGGGGAAACAGTACTCTGTGCCTTCATCGACATTGAGGGGCGTTCGATAACACCTCTCATATTAGTGTCGACCGGGCACTTGAAAAACGCAATGTGCAGGCAACGATCCGCAGGTGGATAGCCAGGCTACTAAATTCAAGAATCGCTGAAACCGACATCGGAGACAGCGTGGTACAGCTAAAAACTACAAAAGGTTGCCCGCAGGGAGGAGTCTTATCCCCTCTCCTGCGAAGCTTAGTTGTGGACGAACTTCTACGGATTCTCACGGACAATGGCATCCGCTGCCAAGGCTATGCGGATGACATCGTGATTATCGCCAGAGGAAAGTTCGTGAGCACTCTCTGTGATATAGTGCAAAGGGGACTAAACCTGGCAAGAGGCTGGTGCGTGGACATGGGCCTCAGCATCAACCCCTCTAAAACGGTTATTGTCCCTTTCACTAGAAGAAGAACGCTTCCAGGCATGAGGAACATTTCTTTGAATGGGGTCGCCATCAACGTCGCCACCGAAGTTAAATATCTAGGACTAACCCTGGATTCTAAACTTCTGTGGAAGGCACATGTTGACGCGGTCACTTCCAAAGCTACGAGGGCACTAATGGTATGCAAACGCCAGGTAGGGAAGACCTGGGGCTGCAGTCCCAGGATTCTGAGATGGATGTATACCATGATAGTTAGACCAATAGTCACCTATGGAGCAGTGGCTTGGGCCTCGAGAACCACCCTCACCACGGTGAGGCAATCCCTCACCAAGCTTCAACGTCTGGCATGTGTATGCATTACGGGGGCAATGCGCACATGTCCGACGGCAGCGCTGGAGGTGATTCTCGAGCTCTAGCCGCTGCACCTTACCATGGAACAGGCTGCAAAGCGAACTCTACTAAATTTCGCGAGGGAAGGCTTTGGCAGGGGCAAAACCATATCATTAAGGAACAGAGACAAGCTAGGCTCCCAAGTTCCGCTACTCCCCAGAGACGACAGGCCTAAGGCGGTTAACTTTGACAAGAATTTCAAAATAGAGCTTTGCACCAAGGCGACCTGGAGATCCTCTCTCATGGAGAGGCTGATCCAATCGAGCTCGTTGCAATGGTACACAGACGGCTCGAAGACTCCGGAAGGCATTGGGGCTGGCGTCTACGGGCCGAGGCTACAGCTCTCGGTACCCATATGGGCATACCCGAGTATCTTCCAGGCGGAGGTCTATGCCATCAGTCTG